CACTATGTGAGTTCAAACTCATGGCAATCTTCCTGTCTCAGCCTCCCAAGTGCTGGGATTACGGGCATGTGCCACCATTCCTGGCATCAGCTTTTTTTTTTTCCAAGACAGGGTCTCACTGTATAGTTCAGGCTGGCCCTGAACTCACTGTGTAGCCCAGGCTGGCCTTTAAGTTGCAGTGATCCTACTGCCTTAATCTCCTGAATGCTGAGACTACAGGTGTGTGCCACTATGCTCAGCTCTATTTATCTGCCTTCTGACTTTATTAATTTGCTTATTCTGGAAACTTCATAAATGGAATTATTCAATATTTTGGCTTTTTGTGGCTTTTTTTCATGGTGGTTTACTCTCATGCTGTAGTGTACTTTTCCTTTTACTTGGCTCAAACTTACTCTTCAGAGCACATTTCTTTTCCTACCTTTAATAAACAGACCTTTTGGATTTGTCTTGATCAATTCTTTGTTCAGGACAGAAAGCACCCAGAAACCACTTCTAGAAGGAGACTTCAGCACCTCCTCCCTAAAAAATATTTGGCCTTTTGTGCTTGGCTTCTTTCATTAACCATCATATTTTCAAAGTTAATCTATGTTGTTGCATCACTAATTCATTCCTTTTTATGGCTCAATAATATTTTATTGTAAGGATATACCACATTTTAAAATCCATTCATCAGTGGTTAGACATGTGAACATTGACTTAACTGTTAGTGGTTGATTTGGGGTTTATATTATGTATCATTAATCTGCCACAGTCTACCTCCAAGTAATTTTTTTTCAGTACTAGTGATTGAACCCAGGGCCTTTACACTGAGCTATATTCCCAGTCCATTTTTGGAGACAGTCTTGGTAAATTGCTTAGTTGCCTAGGTTAGGCTTGAATTTGTAATCCTGTCTCAGCCTCCTAGAGTGTTGGGCTTATAGGTCTGTGCTGCCAGGCTCAGCTTTAAAATAATTACTGAAAGATATTTTTTCCAGGTATTAAATTCAAGACTATTCAAGGATTTTTTCAGCACTTTAAAAATGTTACTTTTGATTTGGGGCCATTTTTTTCATGTTTTATATACTTGGAGTTCATTCAACTTCTTGGATCTGAGTTTATAGTTTTCATTAAATTTGGACCATTTTTGGTCATCATTTTTTCAAATAATTTTTGTCTGTATTTCTTTGGGGACTCCAATCACCCATATATTGGGCCACTTGAAGTTATTTACAGCTCATTCTGTTTTAGATACTTTCTTTTAGCTATGCCCTCAAACTTACTGTTTTTCTTCTCCAATAACTAATTTGTTAACTCCATACAACTACAGAAATCAATTTGGGTTTCTCCTCTTTCCTCTTTTTCTCTCTTTCCCACTCTTCTTTTAAAAGCTTGTACTAAGTTTTTTAAATATATAACTTCCATGTCCTTTTTCTTTCTTTTAGACAGGGTCTCACTGTGTAGTTCAGGTTGGTCTTGTGCAACTTAGTGACTTAGCAAGACCGTCTCAAAGAATTAAACCAGGCTTGGTGGTGCATCCCTGTAATCCCAGCACTCAGGAGTCCGAGGCAGGAAGATCACTGTGAGTTAGTGGCCAGCCTGGGCTACATAGTGAATTCAAGGCCAGCTCAAATTACATAGCAAGACCCTGTCTAGAAAAAAAATTTTTTTTTAAATGGTTCAGGATGTAGCTCAGTGTGAAGTCCCCAGTGTACACATGTGCGCGCGCACGCGCGCGCACACACACACACGCACACACACACACAAAGACTAAATGAAAAACAGAAAGGCAGAAAAATATATACAAGGGGATACATATTACTGTTATGAGAGATAAGATGTTGAAATCATCTTACAGCATACCATTAAAGATGGGGGAGAATCAATTTAGGGTAATCTTACATAGGAGATTAAAAGAAATAGAGGTAAATCTAAATAATAGAAATTCTGGGAAGAAAAATCACAAACCACCAAAGGAAAAAAATCACTATCACATAATTCAAGAGTTTACCAGAAATGAAAGCCAAGAGTCCAACCTGAAAGGGTTCAAGGGCTTGACACAATGCACGGAAAGACTCCTCAATGTATGTGCATTCTTGTGGAATGTAAGAACCCTATGATGAGGAAGTCACAAAGGACCAGAACTCACAATGACTTCAGACTCCTTTATAGCAAGGGTAGATGCTAGACAAGGTAGCAAAGCCTCACAATTCTGAAGGAAAATAAATTTCAACCTAGAATTTCACACCTAATCAAGTGTGAAAGAACATTTTCAGATATGAAGTCTCTCAAAAAATAAAAATAAATTACTCCCCATGTATCCCTTGCACACCACATACTCGCCTGAAATCAGGTAATGAACTAAGAGAAAGAAATTACACAAAAAACAGGAGACTCAACTAAGGAAGGGTCTAGGGAGAATGGGATGACAAACACATTAGGTACTGGCTGGAACCAGTTCAGATTAGGGTGAGTCAAGAATAACTGATAGATAATGTGTAAAGGTCTTTAAAGACTTGAGTTCAATTAGTGACCGAAAACTAAGCCAATAAAAATACAAGAGGATTATTACTTCTAGAGCAAAGTTCTCCAGTAATCTAGTCTACTACATCGTTCAGCAGTGATAATTTAACCAGTCATAATTTAACAATGACTATGATTAAATTATAAGTATAATTAGGGAGATAGGGAGTATATACATGGTAAGCAAAAAGAATTCAAAAGACATTCCTAAAACTGAAAAAGCAAGGACTAGCCATGAGAACATGTTAAACAGACAAATCAGCCACAAGTTGAAAGGAAAGAAGCAGAAAAAAATAAGGAAGAGCAGGAAGGGCAGGAGAATCACTTGTTTTCATAACAATCCTTGCAGGACCATTTGTTTTCAATACACAGTAACTAATTTTTCCCCCCTAAAATGCAGGATATAAAATTTTTAGCCAGCGGGACATGGTGGTGCACACCTATAATCCCAGCACTCCAGAGGCTGAGGCAGGAGGATGAGGCTGTGACTTAGAGGTCAATGCAGGTTATATTGAGTTCAAGGTCAGCCTGAACTACATAGTGAAACCTTGCCTCAAAAACAAAAACAAACCTTTTAGCCAGTCTGAACTATATGATGAGACCCTGTCTCAAAAAACCAAAATAAACTGTTTACAAATCTTTTAGGTTTTCTTTATAGCTTATATAAATGAGAACTCTTTTCACTTTTCTGGATCTAGGAGGGTGACAGCCAGATTCCAGTATGGAGAATCAGGCAAAGCTGGTTATTCCTGTATGGTTATAGGATCAAAAGTCCGCCTTTCAGATCCAAGATGCAATTAATTACTATTAAGTGTTCTATCTTACAGTTTAAAATATTATTATGAAAGTATGTGGTTAAATAGTGTTATAGTAAAATAACTTACAGAGCTGGTACAATAGCATGCACCTGTAGTCCCAGCTACTCAAGAGGCTGAGATAGGAGGATCACGAGCCGAAGAGTTCAAGCTTGGCTTGGAAAACACGGTGAGATCCCATCTCAGAAAGTAAATAATTAAGAAAATAAAACATACTTTAGTCCAGAGTCAAAGTTCGGCCTCAGATATACTGAGTAAGAATTACTTAGCAGGAGCACAAGGCACTGTTTAAAATGCAGACCCTGAGGCCTGTTTGAAAGGGCCCTTGGAACCTTCACTTTTAACAGGATCCCTACATAGTAGGTGGTGAAAATCCGTGCTCTCACTCAGTGTATTAATGATCCAGTGGGCTTCATTAATAGCAGTAAATCACGTTCTGGAAGTGAAGGTCACTAGCAGCAAAGAAGCAAAGTAATCCAAGCAGGATACTAGTGGGTAGTACAGCTTCTGGCTAAAAGAATTCCATTTATAAAGACTTCAAAGAAATTCACTGTATATGTAACTCAGTGCACAAGTTTCTTTTCTTGCCAGAAATATTAACTATAACTTAACTCTCAGCCAAATCTAACACAAATTATTCAATTCCATTCATAGTGAATAAGTTCATTTAAAATGACCAACAGTCCCAGAGCACCTTCATGGATCAGCACTGCCTCAGAGGTCACCAGCCACCTGTCACCCAGATGCCTTAAAGGAGTCAGGAGCATGGGAGCAAGAAACACAGGATGCTCTAGGGAGAGTCTCTGAAGCCTTATCTGTTTTTTTTTTTTTTGGTACCAGGGATCGAACTCGGGTCCTTGCACTTGCACACCAGGCGGTGAAACCACTGAGCTAAATCCCCGACTCTGTTTTCCCAATTTTTGCGTTGTCACAATATTCACTTTATGCACCTTATCCTCTCTAGTTCCCTTGTCTTTTTTTGCCAGTACCAGGGATTGAACTCAGGACTTTGCGCTTGCCAGGCAGGCGGGGCACCGCTGGGCTACATCCCCAACCCTCTAGTTCCCTTTTCTACATGAATATGTCAATTAATGGTGAGGTGCTCTGATAAACTCTTAAAATGTATTCTCCAAATGACCAGAAAACTGCTTGTATAGTCAGGATATGAGCCACATACGTGGGTGGCTAGTATCCTCTGAATTACTTTTTAATATCTTGGTTGTTTTTTCCAAATGCAAAATCACTAGGATTACAAGACTACATAAGGCAGAGTATTGAATTTTTGTGTATGTGTTGTTTTTGTTTGGTACCGGGGATCGAACTCGGGACCTTGTGCTTGGGAGGCAGGCACTGGAACCACTGAGCTAAATCCCCCGGCCCAGAGTACTGAATTTTTTCAGAGTAGCATGAGCTGTGTTGTTGAACTTGAGCTTATGACATGTCCACAAAGGTTTAATTGAACAAAGTATTCATTATGTGTCTGTGTCTGAAGATAAATGAGACTCAGTATGTATTTTTGGAACTTCTCTGAGGTGAGCTTTTCTGGGCTTAACCAGTAAACAGCTTGGAATAGCAGCTTAAACTTTTTATCAATATCTGTGCTATATCAAAATGTTGGCATTCTACCAGGGTGTCAAAATTTAACTTGCTGTCAAAGAAAACTCCAAAATGAACACATAACCCTCATTTTCTCAAAAACAAAACCACCAGATTTATTTAGTTTATAACATTTCCACTGATCTAAAGAGAAAGATGCCGGACTGGGGATGTAGCTCAATGGCGCTGCAGCTGCCTGGCAAGCACAGGTCCTGTGTTTGATCCCCGGTACCAGAAAAAGAGAAAAAAAAATTTAAAATAAAGAGAAAAATGTCAAAGAAAACCTAAGACATACACACAAGTGCCCAACCCCCTGAACTTAAGATAACCTAAATAAAAAATGTAGGGACAGTTCTGTTCAACCAAGTTAAGTTATCTTCGCTTCTGGAAGATGTTTCCACGTCCCATTCCACGTCCTCTTCCTCTTGCAGCCACTGAAAAGGAAGAAGAGAAAGGGTGAAGACAGGTCAGCATGGTCAGTGAATGCTCATGGTGCAGAGCAGCTGGAGTGCTGGGACATCAGCTCAGATAGAGTCCCAAAAGGTCACCAGGTCCAACATTACCCTGCCCCATCCTCGCACTTCATAGTGAGGACGGGGACCCAGGAAAGGCGGGCCTGGCATGGACGCCTGGCATCAGAGCAGGGGCCAGCGCTGGGCTCCTGCCTTCTGGTTCAGCACTGCTCTGGACGAGTGGCTGGGAAGCAGCATAGAGAGCAAAAGTGGTCTGAGAACCACAGAAAAGATGAATTCCTGGGGCTGGCCTGTGGTGAACTAGTAAAACATTACAGATGAACTTAATTTACTTTTAAAATTCTGAAACAATACAGTTAAGAGTTAGCATCTGTTAATTGTTAATTCCGGGCGAGAGGTTTTATCATTCTTTGAATTTCTCTGGATGAAAAAAGTATTTCATAACAGCAAAAACAAAATAACACTCCCTATACAAAGGGTTCTAAAAAGACTGCTGTTCTCTGTGACCCAAAGGTTTTAGGAAGGGGCCAGAGCCCTTGAAGGACAGATGAAAGGTTTTAGGAAGGGGCCAGAGCCCTTGAAGGACAGATGAAAATATTCTGGTGGCTACTAACTGGAGTCTCATCCTTCTCTGCTCTTCCAGAGCCTGCAGCCATCCTGAAGAAAGTTTAGAGCAAAGTCCTGCAAGAACCCACCCACCTGCTAAAGGACGCCAGGGGTTAGGAGAGGTACAAATAGCTCCATGTGTCTGGGTAAACTCACTGCCAAGTTATTTTTAATGCACAGCTACCTGGCTCCTACTTGGCTGGAGATGTTGCAAATTCACTATGACAATGAGGGCAGCACTGAGGGTATTTTAAAGAATTATACTATTGCATTTTTCTTTTGGTACTAGGGATTGAACTCAGGACCTTGCACTTTCGAGGCAGGCAGTGGCACCACTGAGCTAAATCCCCAGGCCTACTACTGCATTTTTAAGGTCAAAAGCTACTTCACATATAAAATATGCAGCTGAAGATACCAATGGAGGATCCAGGAGCTTGCTATGTAGCCCAGGCTGGGTTTAAACTCACAATGTAGGCCAGGATGGCCTCAAACTTGCAGCAATCCTCCTACCTCAGCCTCCCGAGTGCTGGGATGACAGACATGCACCACCCACCTGGATTCCCTGGCCAATCTTTCCAACAGTAAGGGAGTTTTAAGGGCTACTCTTGCTTTCTTATCTAATAATGTGGCAGAACTTCTCAGGTACCCAAGTAAATAACCTGACTGGGCTAACTCCTATCAAGAACAGCCAGACCAAGTCACTGAGGACATGCTGGTCTCAAAAAGTATGCTAAGGGAGGGATTTATTTTCAAATACAAGAAACATTGAAACTAGAAGTGCAGGTCCCATTAGTGGGCAAAGATGGCTCAAACCTGCTTATTTATATCTGAAAAGGGATTTCCACTGTCAGCATCTGCCCAAGTACAGGCTGGTATCAAAACACATCACCGAGTCTCCCTAAGAATGCTGCCCTACTGCTTCAGGAGTCAGCTTATCCACACTCTAGTGTGTGTGCTCAGCAAACTAGACAAGAGCAAGCTGCCCCAGGCATCTTGGACAGAACTTCCGAAAAGGAAGAACTTTCCAGAAATTTATTATAGACTTATTAACTCTTTCACTTAAGACAAGGAGTCCACCTATTTAAATAAGCTACTTTGAATCTTGCATAAGCCCTATGATTCAGATCAAATGAGGCAAAAGACAGACAGTAGGACAAGGCCGCCAATGCCTTAAAGGGATCTCCCAGGACTGAGGGGAAAATGGGCAACACTAGGTGCGGAGACAGCTGAGGTCAGGCCCATCTCTGTCCCTAGCCAATAATAGGGCCTTTTTCTAAAAAATACAAGATAAACTCAATTTTAAAAATCAGTGCAGAAGTACCTACCTTGGGCCTTCAGAATAGCAGCTTTTCCCCGGCCAGCCCCTGAGCCTTGGTTTTTATTTTTCATGCTCTTTAACATGGGTGCATTTTTCAGCATGTCAGGCAATATCAGAAAGCGGATCTTGCTGCCACGGATGTATACTTGCTCCAGCTGTGCCACTCGGCCATCTCTGTATGTGACTGTGATGTTGGACATCTGGAAAGGAATAATTAGTGATCAGTAAGGGTCAACAGTACCAGCAGAGGACAGGGGTACACAAAGAGGAAACCTTGACTAGTGGGAGAAGGAAGTCTAGAAATGCAAAAACTGATGTGATAACAGAAAAAAGTGAGGCAAAACTGGTGAAACACCATAGTAATAGCTGGCACTTACTGTGTGCACCAGGGACTGTGCTAAGTACTTTATATGATTAACTTCACAACGCCTCCAGGGTAGGTATGTGCTCTCCCACTTTTACAGATTAAAAACAAAACAACCAACAAGGAACATGTCCAAGATCAAACAACTGGAATCCAGAGGACTCCAGATTGGAAACAGGTGGCCTGACCCGAGTCCTATTTCTGCTGGGTCAGCATTCAGAGTTCTTGATGGTGGCACATTCTAAATGAGATGGTTTCAAACTGCTTGTCCAAACTGTGTCCTTGCTGCACCTGCCTGGCAGTCAAAATGCAAAGGTACTATGAAAGTCAGGGGTGTGTGCTAGCTGCAGTTCCAACTCTCCTAGTGTTCACGCTAGAAGGCTAATGACAAGGGTCTGCAGAGCAAAGGCAGCAGCGCCTACTCCCAGGGCCTGCAAGAGCTTACACAGGGAGAAAGAGAGCACTCAGGAACATTTAAGATACAAGGACGAGCGTGGAGTTGTAAGCCAGGACAGGGCCATCACTTCAGAAACCTGAGCAGGTCATTCAAGTTTATGGACAAAGGGCTGACAGGGTTAAGGCAGCACCTTGGAAGACAAATATGCCTTGGCAAGACAAATGGGTAGATGCAAGTGGGACAAAGGGACTCTCTAGGTGAAGCCAGGCAGGGGATCTGCTGGGCACAGGGAAGTGACACAAACTTGCCTATGCCAAAATAAATAGGTACCATGTTTACTATAAGTAGCAGCTTATCTGATGAATGTTCTAAAGGGAAGACAGAGGACTATATTTAAAATGGTCAAGCCCACATCACAGAGTTGTGCTATCTCCCCAGGTTTCTGTTGCTGTTTCACATTCACTTGCTCTTTTCTTCAAGTGCCAGGTAGTCTCTGCTTGAACACCCAGAATGCAAAAAGACCAACAATGCTCTGGGTCGGTTATGGCAAACCTTTGTAGAGCTTTCAATGATAACAAAAAGCTGGCTGCAGTACTCGTGCCATGGGTTTGCCATCACCTCTCTGGACTGTTCCTGCTCTATCTGCATGGTTGGGATGGTTTCTAGAGCTTCCATCTATTGTCCTCGTTCGACCATCAGGGGGGTGAGAGAACTACAGCTTTTCATCAACCTTCAGCTGCAGGTTCCACATTCCAAGTTCCTTCAATTTTCACAGTTCCTATGTTCTCGCCATCCTATTCTTCCCTTGAAGAATACCATAACCTATGGTACCACAAACGAACAGTTATGGTTAGACTACGCAAGAGAGAACCTTGAATCCCACCCAGGATCCCCAGTATGAGACACACCCATGAGTCTACAGAAGACAAAATAGGTGAGGTTCTCCAAGTGAGAGCCAGCTCTGTTGTCGAGTGTAACCTTAGGTATGTCTCTAGAATTCTGAGCCCCAGTCAGTTCCTTCCCCTACAAGTGAGAAAAATACAGCACAACAAAGCCAACACTACCTGAGCACTAACTAGACATCAGGCACCATCCCAGGTGACTGATTTCCCACAGTAATTTTTATTTTATGAGATAGGGTCTAAGTCATTATGTTGCTCAGGCAAGGCTCAAATGTACGACCTTCCTGCTTCAGCTTCCCTGAATGCTGGGATTACAGGCATGTACCACCACTCAGGCCCACAGTAATTTATTTTGTACCACAAAAGCCCACCAGAGAGATTCCTGCTGGAGAGATGAATGAAGTAGCACAGCCTTTCAGAGGCAAATCTGTCCCATATCCTTACCATGGGTAAGGCCCATACCCTTACTGATGGTCATTCTGCCCCTACATGGTCTGCCTGGGGTCTGAACTGAGGTCTATCTAACTATAAACCCACACTCCTAAGCACTGCCAACAGACCACTACTTACCCCCAAGAAGTGCTATAGAGCAAATTAAACAAAAAATGCTGTCTTGGGCCGGGGACTTAGCTCAGTGGTTTCGCCGCCTGCTGCGCAAGCTCAAGGACCTGAGTTTGATCCCTGGTACCAAAAAAACCAAAAAAACCTCCCAAAAAACGCTGTCTCAATTGCTTAACACGTAACAAAGACTTAGGAAACGTCAAATCTGACCGACAGTTAAAATGTCTATTTGGTGGCTGTGCTACTGCTAAACCATATCACCTCCAGCACATACTCGTACATCTCATTCCTTCCTGTCATAATCCCCCCACTTGGCTCGAGAATCCCACAACAGGCCGTCATGTAGGCCCAACAAGACTTATCGTAGGTGCTTTCACAAATGGCTCATGTCCTGGCTAAACAGGGAATCCTAGCATCACTGACTCCTATTCCAACAGCTCACTACTGCCCTCATGCTTCCTGTAGCACCAGCAAAGAAATAGCTTTGTGGCCCTACAGTCCTGCTGCCTGTCCTCCAGAGTGCTAATAAGCCCATGCTGTGCTTGAATCATAAACCCAAAGGGAATCTTTGAGTGGACTAGTTTTAATAAAATGCAGGAAAACCAAGTTTAATCAATTTTCCTAAACAACCACAATGAAACAGACAGCATAAGCCAGATACCCAACTGAAATGACAATCTGGGGCCAAGATGGAAAAGCTAGGTCCAGGATTATGAAATAATGTTGGGATATTAGTTTTCATCTATGGTTCTTGGCTTGTAATTCCCCATTCAAGGAAGGTCAAATAAACTATTATTTCTCTTCCCCAAGGCAGGTCACAGAAACTGTTATTTTCCTCTGCCTTCTGTCTTAAGAGCTGTCTATAAAGAAATTCTATGATCTGCCCTGTCTGACAGACCATAAGGCCCTCATTTCAGAGGGCTTCCTTGCTTCATGCCCAGCAGGAAGGAATGCTACACAGAAAGACCAAGAAGAATCTGAACAGAAAGACTTTGCTGGGTTTCCTTACTCCATCTATTAGTATTAGAAAATAATCTTTTTGTTCAATCCCCTTTCTACATGGTATCCAGATCATGTCTATGCAATGAAGTTTTCATAAAAACCAAAAAAGGCTAGGTGTGGTGGTACATGCTTCCAGTACTTAGGAGGCTGACACAGGAGGGGCTGACACAGGAGGGACTTCCACAAGCTCAAGACCAGCCTGAACCACATAGCAAGACCCTGTCTAAAAAAAAAGACAAAACATCACTTCTCAGTCTTTTGGCTAAGATCAAGTGTAAAAAAGACAAACCTAAGAAACAAACAAAACCCCAAAAGGACAGGGTTTGAGGAGTTTCCAGATAGCTGAATATGTACAGATTCCTAGATGGTGGTACACACAGAAAAAGCTCCATGCTCTTTTCTCCACATCTTGCCCTACACATTTCTTCATCTGTATCCTTTATAATATCTTTGTAATATCCTTGTAATATCATATGCCAGTAAACCCAAGCACTCCCCTGAATTCTGTGAGCTGCTTGAACAAATTAGTCAAACCCATAAGGGGGCAGTGGGAATTGTGATTTATAGCTGGTTGGTGAAACAATTCGGGGCTTGCAGCTGGCATCTAAAGGAGAGAAGCAGTCTTGGGGACAAGGCCTGACAACATCCCCATATAGTGTCAGAATGGGATTAAATTAGGGGATACCCAAGTGGTGAACACTGAGGAACTGAGAGCTTGCTTGGTGTGGGGAAAAAGCCCTACATAGCTGGTGTCAGATGTTGTGAGTATATAGTTCAGTTGGTTTTTCCTTCAGAGGAGGCCTCCTATCACATTAGAAACATACACATTTTTTAGGACAATTTCACACATATACACTTATAGATGCCCACTCAGTTGCCACTGATTTAATAGAAATATCAACTGATGCCATCTACCTATCTTTGCTCTTAGGAAACACACACAAAAGTATTATGGGGCTGAGGCAGGAAGATCGTCTTGAGTTCAAGGCCAGTTTGGAGTACAAGTGAGACTCTGTCTCAAAAAGTATTATGGGGTAAAGGAATGTGATCAATGTAATCCATTCTAAAACAGTTCTAAAAAAATGTATATAGTTTAAAAACTGGTTTTCCTTCAATCTAAAAGTCTAGGTATCTAAAGAAATTCAATGACACTGCATTCAGAAATTTAAAAAACTGTCCTAGTTGGGCCAGGGATTTAGCTCAGTGGTTCCACTGCCTGCCTTGCAAGCTAAGGACCCAAGTTCGATCCCCGGTACGAAAAAAATAAAAAATAAAAAAAATAAAAATAAAAAACTTTCCTAGTATTAGTTACAGGTAGTTTTTTTGTTACTAACCCAATTATGGGCAGACTTTTTTTGTGTTATCACTTCAGAACACTAAACTGCACCTGCAGACCGTTTTTCTATAAGTATTAAAGCCAAGAAGAGGCCTAAATTCTTCCACAGTGGCATGTTAAATGCAGTTCCAGAAAGAAAATAATCTGCTCTTGTACTGACAGCAGAGCCCTTGGCAGCCTTATTTTATTTTCAATTTTAGATATTCTCACTATTTACTAATTTGCAAGTCTGATTACTAATAAGGTCTTTTATAGGGAGGGGGATACCGGGGATTGAACTAGGACCTTGCACTTGCGAGGCAGGCAGTAGCACCACTGAGCTAAATCCCCAGCCACTAAGGTCTTTTTTTTTTTCCTTTCCTTTTTTTTTCCTTTGCATTGCTGGGAATTGAACCCAAGGCCTTGCACCTCCTAGGTAGGTACTCTACCGCTGAGTTAAATCCCCAGCCCAAGGCCATTTACATATATTTTCTTCTGTGAATCATCCATCCATCCATCTGGATGCACTTAAAATTGGGATAATAACATTCTTGACTTGCAAAAACTATACACTAAATAAATATAATAACCTTTATCATAAAAATAAATCATGTGATGTCCTAAGTGTTTGAATAGTGACTATAATTGGGTCAGAAGACTCCTGATGTTCACCAAGAATCTACAAAGGAACTTTGGAGAACCATTCACAGTAGAATTATAATAAAATCTACAGCCATAAAGTTTCCCCCCAAAGGCTACATAGTTTATTCTATAAAACAGAATTATGTGCTTATTCCTACTCATCACGCCTCACCTTAAAGCACTTATGGTTTTTCTTTCTTTTTTTTTTTTTGGTTTTTAATATTTTATCAAACATCTGACTAGCAGTTTTTTTCCTCCTCAGTACTGGGGATAGAATCCAGGGCCTCACACATGCTATTGCTCTACCAAGCTACAGTCCCTGAGTCTTTCCAATTTTTGAGACAAGGACTTGCTAAATTGCCTAGGCTGACCATAAACTTGTGATCCTGTCACATCCTCAGTAGCAAGGATTACAGGCATGCTTCATTACACTCTGCTAGAAGCATTCATTCTTACAAAACATTTTTTTCTTCTGAGTTTGAAGAAAGATCCCTCAGTTCCCACTGCCATTTAAAGAAGACAGGATGCTTCAGGTCCATCCATAGTGATTACAGAGTCAGGAAGGAAAACTTTGTCATCTGGGGACCTCTAGTTCTAAGTCATCGATCTTTAAGCTGGGCAAAAGATTGGGGATGTCCCATTTCTTTGACCAACAAAAACTGGCTAAAAAGAACCATGTGGAGAGTCACAAGGGTCCTTGCTCACTATCATCCATATGGTGTCCTTAGGGGGTACTCACAGTGACAAAAGAAGGGCATTAACCCACAGCTGACATCATAACCTGCAGTACTAACCACTAGATTGTACTTGCCTTGAAGTTGTAGGGTTTGGTAGTTGGGAGGGCAAAGCTCTCTGCCCTTCTAGCCAAATCTCAGATACACATAAGTACCTACAAAGTACCACAAAGTATCTCTGACCTACAAAGTACCATTCTGGAGACTTCATTATAGGGTTCATGCATGGACAAATAAATAAAGCTAAACATTATATATAACCACCTAACTTTAAAACACCCAAGGGAACCAGGTGTGGCAACACACACCCATAATCCCAGTACTCTGAGAGGTAGAGGCCGTGTCACAAGTTCAAGCCCAGCCTAGACAATTTAGTAAGACACTGTCTCAAAATAAAAGAGGACTGGGGCCGGGGACTTAGCTCAGTGGTTTTGTCGCCTGCTGCACAAGCACAAGGACCTGAGTTTGATCCCCGGTACCAAAAAATAAAATAAAATTAAATTAAAATAAAAGACGACTGGAGATGTAACCCCATGTAAGGGAGTTGAGGTGTAGCTCAGTGGTAGAGCATTTGCTTAGTATATACAAGGCCCTGGGTTTGATTCTCGGCATTGCCTCCCCACCCCCATAATTCCTACCCCACAACTTTTGTAAGTTACCTCTAACTTCTTTTCAAAGTATTTATAAAGTAAACATCAAAAATCCAAAATATAGGGCCGGGGATTTAGCTTTAGTTCCAGCGCCTGCCTTGCAAGCACAAGGTCCTGAGCTTGATCCCTGGTAACAAAAAAACACCCCCAAAATACAAGCAGGCAAAGTCCATACCAGTAGTGGTTGTGTTTTCCAAATCTTTATAATGTGCTAACTTACCCCACTATTGTAACATGATAACAGAAAACCTTATTAAAACCCAGTATCAAGCTGAGCACAGTGGTGCACACCTATAAACTCAGCTACCTAAAGAGGCTGAGGCAGGAGGATCACAATTCCTAGGTCAGCCTGGGCAAGTTAGTGAGACCCTATCTCAAAACAAAAAAGCAAAACCAACCAACCAACCACAACCACCACCACCACAAGATCCAACATCAAACGTCATACGGTAAACTCCTGCTACTGTCTGCTTCAGAAAGAACAAGCAGGGAAAGTGTTAGGAGGATGCCCTCATTTCCAAAGGGCTAACTGACAGTCAGCCAGGAAAAAAAGACAGCAGGGGGCACTGCAGGAGCCCTGGAGCTCACAGTCCCTGAGAATGAAGTGCTCGGTGTTCACCTGGGCCAGTTTAGCTCTACACAGTCTGCTGGGCTTTAGTCAATGTGCTTAGGTTCTGGTAGATTCAGCAAAGCCTTGTCATTTTGACTCAAGCAAGGTTATGGGCTGAACTGTGTCCCTGCAAAAATTCACATGTTGAAGTCCTAACCCCCAGTACCTCAGAATATGAGCATACTTAGGGAATCTTTACAATTAAGTTAAAAATGAGGTTGGGCAGGGGATTTAGCTCAGTAGTTCCGCTGCCTGCCTTGCAAATGCAAGGTCTCAAGTTCGATCCCCCGCCTCAAAAGAGGTTATTATATGACTGTAAGAGATTTGGACAGAGATGCTACAGAAATGTAAAGACATAAGAAAAAGACATCACCTAAGCTGAAGAGAGGCAGGAAGACAATGTATGCTCAAAGCTACAGAGAAATCACAAATAAATGAACCCTGCAAAACAACAGCCAGGACCACTTGATCCTCAGTGTGACCTTGGATAAGGCACTTGACTTTCCCAACCTTGTTTTCTCATCTGAAAAACAGTAACAAATACTATATGTTGAACACTTCTACTGTGTGAGGCACTGAACTAGCTTCTGCACACACATAACTCAAATGATCTTTACAACAATCCCAGAGCATGGGTACATCCCTGTGGCAGTCTGGGCAAATACTGCTTAGACCTCCCTCAAGAGACAACAGGCTGTGAAGAACAATGCAGGGAGCTGACAACCTCCAGCTGCCATCTTTGGAATCTATCATAGGACTCATCACCCTGAGGCTGCTCTCCAAGGCTACCAGCCAGTGCCTCACCAGCGTGGGTGTGCTAGAGCCAGGCCACTTCTGCCCATGCTAGACTCCTCACCCAAGCAATCTCTGCTTGGCTGAGATTTCCTCAGAGCTATGATGTAGCGTGAGGCCCTTCCTCCTCAATCTTCCTTCCTTTCCCCAGTCAGATCTGCATCCCAGCTCTCCTGCCTACTTTGGCTCCCTTGCTCTATTATTCTTTTTTGCCATTTTCCCAATAAATCTCTTGCACATCTAATTCAGAACTGGCATCTGGATCTCAGAAGACCAAAATAACACCAACCCCATTTTATTGAAGAAACGGAGGTGATTAATATACCTAAGGTCATATGATCAGGATTCAAACATACATTTCTAATTGCAAAGCCCAATTTCTTAACAAATGGTTTAAAGAACAAGGAATATGTGCCGATACTTTGTAAAGTAATGCTATAAAAATTCATAGGACTATACAAAAGATAAAGTAGTGCTACTTCCATCTCAGAAAGCTGCTTAGTCAGCAGTGACACGTTGTAGATGAGTCTTTTAATCTCATTCTTCTTTATTTTTGTGGCACTGGGGAATGAACTCAGGCACTTATGCATGGTAGGCAAGTGCTCTACCACTGAGCTACAGCCCCAGCCCATATATTCTTCCTTTATGAATTGCAAAATTACTAACAAACCTGCTTACCTCACAAAATAGTTACAATAATCAAATTAGACTTCTCCTTCAAGAAAAAAGGCAAATACAGTATGTGAATTGATGATTCTGCTAACTGCAAAACATAAGTACGTGTAAGTAGATAATGGCTCTAAACCACTTCAAAAGAAATAAAATCACTTCTCTCAAATAGACCCCTAAAATGATATAGCATGATGGAGAAAAACGGAAGACAAAATCTAATACGGTAAGTCCCCAATTTACGAATGAGTTTCATTCTAGAACCTTCATAAGTCAAATTTTTTCCTAAGTCTGACAAAGTGAGCCTTACATAGTACACCTATGAAAGTTTGCAGCTTGAATGTCTGTCAGTCAGAAACTTACTGCAAATGGCTTTTCTGCCTTAAGATTGCCTCTTATTTGTGTACTATGTCCCAGAGTCTGTTTTTTGTTTTGTTTTTGGTACTGGGGATCGAACTCAGGACCTTGCCCTTGCCAGGCAGGTGGCGGCGCCACTGAGCTAAATCCCCGGCCCTGGCCCAAAGTCTGTTAAGAGTGCCTGACACACACTAGGCATTCATTAAATAACTGTTGAATGAGAAACTCAAAAAGGTCTCCCATCAGCACCTTTCTGTCCTGAAACACTGGCCCCAAATTCCCTACACCCTCAGGTGCAAAGCAGAGTACCTGGCAATTCATGTTGTCCTCCGCTTCAATGAGCTTCCCCCGATATACTTCACCAGTGTTTGTCTCACATGTCACAATGTGGCCCTCAGCCTCATGGAGTACTTTAATTGGCACACCAATAGACATCTTGACAAGGGAGAGTTCTAGAGTGAGAGAAACAAAAGTCAGTTTATCTTTTAGAGGCCCGAGAAAGCCTGGCACTTCATAAAACTTTGCAAAGATGAGCCAAACAAAAACCAAACACATGCTGGGTGTGGTGGCAAATGCCTGTAAATCCCAGCATCCAGAGGCTGAGGCAGGAGGACTGCTGCAAGTTCAAAACCAGCCTGGGATACATAGTGAGTTCAAGGACAGCCTGAACTACACAACAAGACCTGACTCAAAAACTGACTTGGAAAACCCTATATGGTAAACAGATGTGGGGAGGATGGTAGGGGAAAGCTAGAGGAAAGCCAACAGTAAAGAAAAAAGTGCTTCCCTTCTCCCTCCCCACTGTACATCCCTTTATCCAAACCATTAACCAATACTGTATGTACGTTGTGGGGGAGGAGACTGAAACACATTTAAAGAATGTATTTGCCAACCCACAGTTGTGGGTGACTCCAGTTTGAGAGTCATTATATACACTTGAGCTGTTCAGTACTGTCTATATATAGCTATTTAAACAAAATAAAAAATCCAGTCATGGGCCAGGGATTTAGCTCAGTGGTTTCGCCGCCTGCTGTGCAAGCACAAGGACCCGAGTTTGATCCCTGGTACCAAAAAAAAAAAAAAAAAAAATCCAGTCCTCAGTCACACTAGCCAAATTCCAAGCTCAACCATCACATGTGGCTAGTGGCTATGGTACTAAGTGGTGTAGAGAGACCAAAGGACCCAGACTAATCTAGGAGAGGAGGCTGCTTTTAGTGAAGCCCTTTGACTCTCCACTTACTTTTCTACCAAGGCTTAAAAGAAAATATTAAGGCGTTCACATAATCAGGAAAAGTGCCTGACTTGATCTAATTTTAAAAGGGCTCTTTATTCTGAAGAGATAGGTGACTCAAGATTGGAACATATTACATGTGTACAAGAGATAAAGGGAACGAAGATGAGGTTGGCAAAGACAGACTCCTTGATGAGGGTCCTTGACTTTCAGCTTTAGAATTTTGCATTTTATACTAAAGACAGGAGGGATTATAGGTAGGGAAAGAATGAAAAAGCAGAAGCCTGTACGAAAATGAATAGAACGTATAGCTTAAAAATAGAGAAATTTATTAAAACTCCTGCAGTGTGGAAAGCATGAGAACACTGCCAGAAAGGGGACTGGAGGCAGAGACGTAAAGAACACCACAAAGGATGACCCAGATAGGACTTCTGAGAAAGCAACAATTATTTTAAAAATTATTTTGCCGAGAATTTAGCTCAGTGCTTCCGCTGCCTTCCTTGCAAGCACGAGGTCCCGGGTTCGATCCCCGGTACCAAAAGAATAATAATAAGAAGAAAAAAGAGCCAGGAATTTAGCTCAGTGGTTCCGCCGCCTGCCTCGCAAGCGCAAGGTCCCAAATCCAATCCCCGGTACCAAAAAAAATAAAATAAAATAAAGAATACTGCCTGAATGTTTCGAAAAGCAGTTACCTGGAAAGGTACAGGAAGTGAAAGCCATTTACTTGTGGGGAAAGCTAACGACTGTTAAAAGCGCTAGTGAGGCAAAGCTAATTTTGGGGGGGGGGGTTGCTTCCCGCTCCTCCTCCCCCAACTCCTCAGCAGCACAGCCTTTTCTAGCTCACGGGCGCCTCAGCCTCCCCTTGCCCACCTTTTCTCACCGACTGGCGTCTCCTTTTCCTCCTCCTCTTCGGAGCAGGAAACTAGTACAGAAGATACGAAGGCGAAGGCGTGCAGAAGGTGAATGGCGGACCCCGCGCTCCCAGAATACCACGCGTTCCCAAAATGCCGCGCGCAGGGCCCGTCCCTTTCCTTTCCCCAGTGGTAAACCCGGTCTAGCCTCCGCTCCCTCCTCACTCCGCCGGGTGGGAAACAAGGGCTCTGGTACTATAGTTCCGGAACAGGAAGAGAGGAGACTGATGACAGGGCCCCGGGGGCTCCCGGAAACACCGACCCTTAAATCGGCAAGGGAGCTCGGAGCCTCGCACTGCCACGCACCCCACATCAAGGACGGGACCAGTGATGGCAGCCGCGGATCTGGTGGTCCTGGGCCCTCTTATCGGAAGCGGCAGGAAGTGGGGAGAAGGGCTGGAACTTCCCCTTACAATATAACCGTTGAATCCCATCACCGCCAGGTAAGGGGTACCCAGAGCAACACAAGGTATCTCGTCGTGTAGGTAAGGAGGAGGAACTGGCCTGGGGCAGTCCCTAACGGGAGTCGGAAAAGGGTGGCTTGGAGCCTCGGCGAACCATTGGGTGGGACCAGGGATAACACCTGAGGCTACAAAGGGACGAGCCTGGTGGAGACGGGGTTTGCTAAGGGGCAGAGTCTCTGAGGAGCCAATGTTCGCTCTACGCTGGGGCTCCGGGGCGGGACTCAGAGTAAGGGGCGGGGTTCTGGGAACTACTTGTGGAAGGGTCTGCGCCTCGGAGGGCGCCGAGGCAGTGGGAGCCGTCAAAAGCCAAGACTGCGAATGGCCGGGGCGGGGTTAAATCAGGAGGCTGGGGCCTCTAGAAACTGAAGTCTGGGAAGGGGGGAGGCGGGGCTTTATCAAAGGGGCGGGGACTACGCATCCCAGACCTGGAAGGGACGGGGCGGGGCTTGGGGTGGCCCAGCCGCCCACTCTGGCGGAGGAACTCGACTCGCACTGGCGGTGCTCCCGAATCAGCCGAAGTCAAAGCTGCAGCCGGGGTCGGACCGGGGCCATGGGCGCCCCGCGCTGCCCGGGTCATGAGGACGGAGGCAGAGGCAGCGGGGGCGCAGCTCGATCCTGGTCAGTGCCTCTGTGAGGGCCCAGCCCTCATCCCGGGGACCGAGTGGGACTCCGCCCTAGCATAGGGCAGGGTCCGGCCGCGCGACCTTGGACTGACTGCCGCAGCCCAGGTTGTGAGCTTGGAGCGAAACATGCCCAGGTGGACATTCCCGCCTCGGCTCCCTCCCCAACCTGTCTTCTTTTGTGGTTTCCTAGTACTCCCGGGGCTGGGCCCCCAGTCACTGCTGACAGTGGTCACGAGGGAGAGTCTGGGTGGCAGGGTCGCCGCCTTCCCTAGAAGTAAGTCCTGGGGCCACCTTGAGAGATCCCTGTGAAGGAACTGAGGCCAAGAAAGGGAGGAAACTCAGAGCACCCAGACGTGGGATGGCCCTTTCCCCAGACTCAGCGTCGAGTCTTGCTACAAGTTCTTCACCCTCTCGTTCCTTCTGCTCTGAGAAAGACAGAGCCCCTTGCTTTCCCCCATAGAAGTGGGGAAACGGGGGAAGTCACGCTGGAGCTCCCTTAGGGCAGAGACCAAGACCGACATTCAGCGTTTTGGGCCTTGGTTTGCCTGTCCAAGAAGTGGGAGAAGGAGGAAGTGATGATTCCTGCTGTGCTAAGGCCAAGGATTGATGTTAGTAAACTGTAAGGTGCAGTGCCAACTCGTGGGAGAGGTGAAGAAGCATGTGGGACCCAGAACCTAAGGTGTCAGTGGGACGATGGCATCACACCCAGGGTGCAGTCTCTTATGTGATTGCAGCATGAAATAGGAACTGATGGTATACTGTGATTTGCATCCCTTCTCCAATTATCTAATTTTGTGATCTTTGACAAGGTATTTGCCTTTCCTGAGCCTTGGTGGAGTGAGTAATGGGTCACTTTTGTAGGGACCTTTTCTGTGAGGCACAGGCAGGGCTAAATTGTTTATATGTCGTACCTCATTAAATCTCATAACAATCCAGTGAGATGGGTTATTGGTGGTATATAACAGCAGACCAAGGCTGAGAGGGGTTAAGTGTCCAGGGACAGTAGTGGACAGATAACAACTGAAGCCAGGCCAGGGCCTTCAGGCAAACACTAGCTCTCTACTGGGGTAGTCCCTTAGCTCCGGGCATAAACATCTGGCAGCTTTGGGCTTGGAAGGGTAGAGTTGTTATCATCAGGACAAATGCAAAGGCCTCGCCTACTGTTATCACCTCCCACAGGAACATCTCCACATAGGCTGACCTGCCCAAGCCAACACTGGGATGGCCATATGGGGATATTTACCCCATGGGGCCTTAGGATCAAGGGATTCTAGGGCTTGGGGCAAGAAGAGGAGAGGCAGCTGATTCTCCTGGGGCCCTAGAGAGCAACTGTCCTTTACACATTTTTAGCTAGGCATAAGGGAAGGCATGAACAGAGTCATAGCCCAGCAGAGGATGGCCCAGGTAGTCAGTGCCAGAGCCCAGGCCACAGAGAAAGGAGAGATCCTCCAACAAAAGGCTGTAGACCAGAAGCCTAGGGCAAGTGGCACTGCAGTGACTAGCCAGCTCAGGCATCTCAAGGGATAAGACCTTTTTGGGAAACCACCAAGCACATCCCCATGTCTGCTGTGAGCCAGGCATGGTGGCACGTGCCTGTCATCCCAGCACTTGAGAGGCGGAGGCAGGAGGATCACCCTGAGTTTGAGGCCAGTTTGAGGCCAGTTTGGGGCACATAGTGAGTTCAAGTCCAGCCTGAACTACATAGCATGACCCTGTCTCAAAACAAAACCACTGAATGTCTACTGTGCGCTGAGATCTTGGAGGAGATAAATGCAGCCCTGTTCTCACCTGCAACCAGGGTTCTTGGTCTCTGATGGGGAAAGCAGATGTCACCTCAAGAACTCCACTTTGAGAAGCCCTGGAAGAAAGAGGGACCAGAGCATTTGAATGTTCAGAGATGGGAAACAATATTCTGGGCTAGATTATACAAGAGCAAAGGCTGGGGAATAATCAGCCTCTGGAGAGAAAAATGAGGCCATTTATAGCCACAGTGAGGGGTTCCGGAACCCACCATGATAGTGCCACTCCCTGCAGAGAGCTCTACCCAGCTTATGGTGGGGAACTACTTTAGAATATTACTTCCTAGAGATCTGGGTTAGTCTTCAGTCACATTTGTGTGCCCAGAGCCTCACAGAGTGCTTAATAAATTCATTTTGCTGGGTGTGGTGGCACTTGTCTGTAATCCCAGCACTCAGGAGGCTGAGGCAGGAGGATTGCCCTGAGTTCAAGGCCAGCCTGGGACACATAGTGAGTTCAGGGCCAGCTTAAACTACAAAGCAAGACTTTGTCTCAAAAAACCAAAAAAATAGGGCCAGGGATTTAGTTCAGTGGTGCCACCGCCTGCCTTGAAAGCACAAGGTCCAGTGTTCGATCCCCAGTACCAAAAAAAAAAAAAGTTAATTTCTTCTAATAAATAATAAGCCATTGAATTACTACTGAGCATCAGACACCAGACACTGGGAATAACAGCAAATAAGATGAACAAGTTCCTTGCTGTCTTAGTCCATTTGTACAGCTATAACAAAATCCCTGAGGCTGAGTAATTTATAAACAAAAGAAATTTAATTTTTCACAATTCTTGGAAGTCCAAGATGAAGGTGCTGGCAGGTTCAGTGTCTATTAAAGGCCCATTCTTCATGGCTAGCTCTGTGAGGTATCCTCACATGGTGGGAAGTCCTGGAAAAGGGAAGAACTCTGTCCTCACATAGCAGATCAGAATGGGGAAAAAGGCCTAAGCTAGTTCCTTCTGATCCTTTTATAAAGCACTAATCCATTCCTAAGGGCAGAGCCCTCAAGATGGAATCACTTTCCCCCAAAACTCCACCACTTAATACCACCACCATGAGGATGACATTTAAACCTGAATTTTGGGGAAATGTGTTCAGACTATAGCACCTGCCCTAGTCTAGTGGGGAGACGGTATCCTCTTTTGACATTACTTTTGCTAAGCATGAAAGCTCCCTCATTCCTCAAAAGGGATAATCAGAAAAAATTCTCAGAAGAGATTTTAAGCTAGGATACGAATGGCAAGAACAGCAGAGGGAAGAGAAGTTTCAGACAGAAGATGCCATAACGTGCAAAGGCCCTGGGGTAGAATGAAAGCTTCTGGGATCACAGGGTAACTGGAACACAGTTGAGGGCTGAGATAAGTCTTGTGGGCCCAGGTTGGGCAGGGACCTGCAGGCCATGGTAAAAAGTGAGCCTTTATTCTAAGAGCAGTGGGAAACTGGATGAGATTCCTTTGGCTGGTGTGCAGAGATGGAAGAGGGGTAGAATTTGGGGCAGAGGACAGGCGTCAGCCAGGGCTGAATTCATGGCAATTGTGGGACGCAAACATGCAAAGGCCTTAATGAAGGAGCTAGGCTTCTTGTTAGAAGTGCCTGGACAAAAGGAAGGAAATGAAGCCTCAGCTCTGCCTAGGCTCAGCACACTAGGTCCCACCGGGAGGATGAGTTCACATCAGCAGTGTGCTTTATGTCTGTTGTCCTGGGCGCTCATGGCACCTGCACATCTACAGTGGTCCGTTTCATAGAGGAGGAAGTAGACACAGAGAAGTCAGTGGATTCAGCTAGCAGGTCGCCTGCCTTGCCCATGCCTTCCTGCTTTCTGCCGGCCTCCTGCACACCTTTGGAGGTGAGGAGCAGCCAGGAGCGATCACAGACCCCTGCCTCCTAGAAACATACAAACCGCCCAGCAGGATGTAGGCAAACTTCATGCAAAGGTTTCCTCCTGTGAGCTGAAACATGAACTAGGCCCAGAGGAATATACATGAGAGACAGCGCCTGGCCGGCCTAGGATTGGAGAACCCCGAGCCAGGCCCTGAAGACTAGGGAAGGTTCGGTATAGGAGGGTAGGAGTTTGAGTCTTGGGCAAAGGCAACAGGTCTGAAAGGCCAACGCAAACTGCACAGTTGCTGAGTAGCTCTCCTGGCTCATGCATGCTGGGGAGCAGTGGGACTGGCATGGCCGGTGGCCTCATGGGCTGGTTCTATAGAGAGCCAGTTGTGCTGTCTGTGAGAGGCCCCAGAAACCCCCAAGATGAATAAACATGGGCGAGCTGGGTTTTCATGTGCCAAGTAGGTGTCATAGTGAGCAGGAGTGGTGACCAGTACAGAGAAGTCCCTTCTGGTTTTTTTACTCTGAACTTTGCCCGGATTCCTGGGGTAGCAGAGGAGGAAGATCCTTCAGGCCACATGTGGGCTTGCCCTGGCCTGCGGGCCTCAGCACATGCTGTTCCCTGTCTGCCTTGTGCTCCCAGGCTACCTGTCTGAGGCACACCTCCACCATTTTCCTAGCCTAGGCTGCTGGTTATCTCATAGTTTGCTAGTCCTTGCTGCCACCAGGACAGGAACCTCATTCCACACTCTACTGCAGTGAATGTTCCAGGCACTTACTTGGAAAATATTTGTTAGTCCAATGATCAGATCAGATCAAAGGTCTCCACTTTAGGGATGGCCACACTCAGTTCAGTGAGAGGAAGTCATTTGGCTAGTTCACAGCCAGCCAATGGCAGAGTCAGGACTGGAACTCCTAGGTCAGGTCCTTTCTGTGTCCCTTCTCGGCCTGGCAAGGCCAGACTGGGAGGTAACCCAGGGACAGTGGTGATGGAGCTCCCGGCGAGAGTCCATTTGTACCGTTTATGTGACAGCTTCTCCTGCTGGGGCCTTCACTCATTGGTAGTTAGAATTAGGCAAACCGCTGAGATCCTGTGAACTTTGATCTGCTGAATTGCAGAAGAGCAAGAAGCAAGACAGCCCCGTCCCTGCTTCATCAGAGCTTCTGCTAAAAGAAGGGCTCTAAGGGAGAGGTATGAGTATTTGAGTATACCTGGTGGGGGGCCAGACCAAAGAGGGGCAACACCTCAAAGAAGTGAGGGCTGGAGCCAGCAGCATCCAGGCAGAGGAAGTGGGTATGCAAAGACCCCTGGGTGTGAGGGATTGTGACAAGTGCATGTTCTTCCTAGAGGGCAGTGAGGAAGCAGAAGGTACTGGGGCAGCAGCAATGAAGGCATTGACCTAAGAGATCGGGGAGCCAATCCACTGGAGGATTTTGAGTAGCACTGACCTTCTCTGGTTGATGTTTTTTGGGAGATCACTGGTGGTGTAAGGAGAAGGAAGGGCTGTGGGAAGGCCCCTGAGCCCCAGCAGGATCTACACAGGAAGTGATGATGGTGTCTTCAGCGGGGTAACAGTGGTGGACACTACTGAGGGTTGAGTCTTCTCTGTTTCCCTGCAGGGGACTTCATACAGCTGCCTGTGCCCATCATTCAGCAGCTCTACCACTGGGACTGTGGCCTCGCCTGCTCCAGGATGGTGCTGCGGTGAGTGGGTGGGCCCGGGGCTGGGGATCCCAGGCCTCCCCTATCCATACCACCTCCTGTGGCTTGGGGGACACACCGGAAGTGACCTGGGTGGGATTCATCGTCCATGTGGCTATCTTTGGCTGAGGCTTGCAAGAGAACTAGCTTCCCTGGGTCCTGTCCCATCTGCAAATGTGAAGAAAGGGTGAGCTAGCTTGCCTAGATCTCTACTCACATAATGACTGGGAGCTATGACTGGGAGCTGGGGCCGGAGCAGGGAAATCCCAGGGGCACAGGCCTGGTCCACAGAGAAGCTCTGTGGCTGGAATAGGGCAACCTCCAGCCTCCTGTCCTCAGGTTCCTGAGAGGCTGCTGAGCTGGGGCTGCATGAATATTATAGAAGCCTTGACCATTGGAACTAGAAGGGACTATACCCATCATCTTGTATAAGAGTTTTCAGTCTGCTGTCTGGAATTTCAGACCAGTCTCTCCCTTGTCTGTTTTACACACTAGAATTTCAGGGAAAATGGGAATCAACAACAGGGTTTGGTGCCTAAAACTTTGAACACCATTGACATGATGCAAGGGGCTCATCTTACTGATAAAGTAAATGAGATCATGTTTGCCCAAGGTCACACAGCCCTCAAGGGCATAAGAAGCAGGGCCCAGGATTAAGCTCAGTGGTTCCAATGCCTGCCTCACAAGTGCAAGGTCCCCAGTTCAATCCCCGGTACCAAAAAAAGAATAAAAAGCAGAACCCAAGTAGATCTTGGCATCATCCACACAGAGCTGGCTTTAGGCACATGCAGCATGTAAGAGTTGTGGGTCATGAAGCCTTCCACCCAGATTTCAGAAGAAGACCTGGGAGAGCAGTGTGTGAAGCTGTGAGGATGAAGCTGAAAGTGCAATGGAGACCCCAGGAGGTGGCAGAAGCCAAATATGTGGGGTCAGAAGAAAGTGGCAAGGAGTGAGCAACCCAAGAAAAAGGCCATGCGGGCTAAAATCACTGGGGCTCACAGTTAAGGGTTTGCCTTAAATCTCAGAGGAGACTTTGAACTTAGACTTTTCAGCAGTGCTGAGACTGCTAGGAATTGGGGAATCGAACTCAGGGCCTTGCGCCTGCCGCTGCGCCTCTCAGCTACATCCCTAGCCCCAGGAAGGATCTAGTTTTTAACAGCAAGTTTTCATCAGGAGAAATCACAGCAGAAGCAGCAGGAAAACAGCAGTCGATTAAGGAATACCTCCCCACCATCCCCTTCATCCAATCAACAAAAATCCAAGCACTACCACTTGCCAAGAACTGTGATAGATAAGGATACAGATGGGAACAAAGCTATTCCTTTGATATTTTCTTTGGGAAGAGAGAAAAAAAATCAATTATCAGATAAGAAGAATGAGGAAATAATCACAGGATGAAATAGTCAGGAAAGGGCAGTCTGAACTGATGACACTTAGGCTGAGAGCTTATGACACAAGGTGCTGACTGTTCAAAATGTCAGGTAAACTGTTCCAGGTAGAGGGTAAAGCATTTGCAGAGTCCTAAAGATACAAAAAACAAAACCCCACAATGTTGCTAGAGGTGATTTGGGTGGGAATATATGGCAGGAGGTAGTGAAAGGTACAATCAGGGGGTAGGTGATGATAAACCTGTAAGACAAGGACCTGGATTTTATCTTAACAGCAAGAGGGAAGCAGTAAATTTTATTGTCTAAAAGATTTTAAAAGCATCTTCATTTTAAGATAATTCTTGCTGCATTTAAGGATAGTAAAGATGGAACCTGGGATTTCAGTTAGAAGGCAACTGAGTAGAGCAGGTGAGCAAGGGTGGTGGCATTCTAGGTTAGAAAGGTGCTTGGGAAAAATTAATGAATGACCTCTCCCTCCAGTAGTTTTGCAAAAGTGATCCTCTTTGTGCTGCAAGAAATCTCAACTGAGGTGACTGTTGTTGTCTTATCCCATTATGCACTATTTTTTTTGGAGAAAAATGTTCTTCTCCCAAATCAACATGAAATTAAATCTTTGTCAGTTCTAGCTGTAAGAACAATCTGAACATTATTAAAGCATTATTTAAAAATTTAAAAACAGAAGCAGCAGAACCCAAGCCCTTGTTTCTGAGGCCATGGCAGTGCCCGGGCAGCCTGCAGTTCTCAGCTTGTGTTCAGGCAGCTTGTGGACAGACCAGAGAATTTCATGAAGGACAGGGCCTTCTGAGGAATGGGGGCTCTGACAGTGGCAGTCAGACCCCGTGGCTAGAAGCTGACCCAGTCCAGCTCTCCTCAAGAGCAAACTGACCTGCTTGGCTTGACTGTCTGCAGGTACCTAGGCCAGCTGGACGATGGAGAGTTTGAGAACGCCTTGCAGGAGCTGCGGCTGACCAGGAGCATCTGGACCATTGATCTGGCCTACCTGATGCGCCATTTTGGTGTGAGGCACCGCTTTTGTACTCAGACGTTGGGCGTTGACAAGGGCTACAAGAACCAGGTGAGCAGCCCGCCAGTGGGCCTTCTCATTTGGGGCCACAGAGGCAGAAGTTGTTCAATTGTAGTAGAAGAGAGGGTGATTAAGCCCAAGGCATCCAAATGGACCCACAAGTGCAGAGATTGGGGCAGTGGCAGATGGGCTATTGGCAGGATTTGCAAGCCAGTCAGAAAGGGGACCTTGGTGTCCACCCTGCTTGGAATATTTAACCATTGAGTCCTGGCTCCTGCCTGCCTTCCTATATACTAGGAAGATATGCAGAGGAGCATCTGGCTATCTGCAGTCTTCCTACTATCTCCCACCACAAGTTAGGCTGAGGGCCTCAGAGCACATAACTGATCTCGTGTGACCATCATTTGTCTGGGTTGTTTATGTTTTTGTTTTGTAGTACTGGGGATTGAGCCTAGGGCTTTGTTCATCCTAGGCAAGTGCTTTGCCACTGAATTATTGCTAACCCTTTTACTTTGAGAAAAGATCTTGCTAAGTTGTCCAGGCTGACCTTGAACTTATGATCCTCCTGCCTCAGCCTCCTGAGAAGCTGGGATTATAGGTACATGCAACCGTGCTTGGCACATTTGCCTGTTCTCTTCCTTCTCACCAGGACAGCCAGTTCTAAGCTTGGCGGTTGGTGTTCTGAAATAAAAACCAATATTGTCTTTCCTTTCTTTTTTCTTTTTTCTTTTTTCTTTTTTTTTCTTCCTCTTGAAATACAATGCCAACCTAGATGGCCTTGCCAGCGTAACAGTGTGTTCTGCCTCTGTGCAGAGCTAGGGCCAGTTTTACCTGCCTCTAAGCAGATCTTGGCCCAGGCTTCAGAACTTGGCAAAGCAGAGTCACTGCTGGCCTTACTGGATAAAAGGCTGTCATATGGTGGCTAGGGCCAAATCAGCCTAACTCTCCTGTGAACCCTCCAGGCCAGGGGAAGAAGACTAATAAATCTGGCCTGGTCAAGGCACAGAAATGGGCCAGAGAAGCAGGTTCTCTTCAGCCTTCCCCATGGGGGCTCTGGCCCACTTAGGGCCCCTGTACCAAATAAAGTATGTTCAATGGACCCTTCCTGACTGGGCCCTCCCCTCCCACCTTTGTTTGGTTCAGGTCCATATTTGCCCATATTTTCTAGAGGATGGCCTGAGCCTGGCCACTCATCTCTTGAGTGTCCTCTTCACTCCTCTGTGTGCTCTTGTGCCCTCCGTAACATGGGACAAACATAGCTCTCTGACCAGACGTTGTGCCTATACTCACCTGCCTCCTAGCAGGGCTCCTCTGCCCTCCCATATCTCTCTTGGGCATACTCTGCTACATCCTAGTGGCATGAGGGTAGCCAGGTAGTGCTCACTCCAGCCTGACTTCCTGTCTTCAGTCCTTCTATAGGAAGCACTTTGACACAGAGGAGACCCGGGTGAACCAGCTGTTTGCACAAGCCAAGGCCTGCAAGGTGCTAGTGGAGAAATGGTGAGCTCTCCCCACCCCACACTTCCTTACATGGCCACTAACCATGGGGAGACTTGCAGTTGAGGGGCTGCTCAGAATGGCATTTGGAAAAGACTTCAACTCTGGAGTCAGGTAGAACATAGGTTTCCTACCCTGGTAGCTGGGTGCCCTGGGTTGCCCTCCTGAGCCTTGGTTTTTCCATCCATAAAATGGGGATTGGTGAGGTACGTAACCCAGGCCGTCATCTGAGTTGGATCCTGAGCAGGTGCTGGAGGGACAGGTGAGCGAGACAGACTGTGGCCAGCCCTTGTACTGTTTGTAGGATTATGACATGGGACAGAACACAGAAGCCCTAATGAACAAGTGATGGCCTAAGGAATGTGCTGGCAGGGTGATCGACAGGGATAGGGACCAGGAAGGACTCCATGGGTAGCTATTTAGGGAAGCCTAGTTCCAGCTGCTCTGATCTTACATGGGCCTTCTCCCTCTTGAACATATGCCTAGGGCCTGGATTCAAGCAGGCTCAGGGCAGCTTGCCTGGATGTGAGTGGTGTTCTTCTCTCCAGGATTGCTGTGGAAGCCAGGCTCAAGCCTGATGCCTCTGGTCTCCAGCCAGGCTGCCTGGGGCCATTGTTCTCAGATTTTCCCTTCATAGATTTATGTTTTCATCATTAATATGATGTCACCACATGATAGATGATTTGAAAAAACGGGGACACAAATCTTTACTCACCCTTTGACCACATCAGTCTGTTAGAAGGACAGGCAGTAGATGTTTACTTAGGGGCCTCACGGGAGCTGTCTCATTGACTGGAGAAGATGTGGTAGAGTGTGATCCAAATCCCCAGTGTCCATACTTGTTATTCCATGAAACTGTAGTCGTCCCTTCCAGCTTGCTCCTGCTTTTTCCCATAACTGAAAGGCTCCCCTTATATACCTCATTGGGAACACTGCCAGCTCTTCCAAATGGAAAAATAGCAGGTTTCCTTGGCCAAGGCAGCAAACCAAACTGCCACGTGACTCAGCGGAGGCTCATGGTGTTGATGCTGCCAGTCCTGAGGAGACAGTTAATGAAGGTGGACCCCAAGTGGTGAGCCCATTCAGCAAAATGGGGGCACTTCTGGCCTAGGCCTGCTCAAGCCCCTTCCATCCCTTGTAAGTTTTTACTTGGATTTGCAACCTTCTCAGGTACACAGAACAGGGCAGTTCCTATGAGTGTCTCCAGGATGTCTCTACTGAACCTGCGGCTCCTCTGTAAGTGCCGCCAACCAGCCCAGTCTGAGTGATACCTTCTGCTACAGGGAACCTTAGGGAAAAAAAAATAGCCCTTTTAGAAAATCATTTGGTTTGGGATCTGGCTGAGCCAAGCTTGACTCTGATTTGGGGAGGTGAATTGGGCTGGAAGATTCCAATGTCAACCACGTAGGATTTGGGGTAAAGGAAAAATGGGAGCATGGCCTAAAAATTCGCCATCCAGCCTAGAAGTGGAATTGCAGTTGCTACTCTAGTAGCCCTCAACTGGACCTGTCTGGAGCTGACCTCCTACCTGCCCTTCCTGCTCTCTTAGACATCACCTCTCTCCCACCAACCCCTGTATTGGTCCTGTGGTTGGCCTTGCACTGAGCCTGGGCTAAAGTGACAAGCAAGGACTTTTCTAGGTATATGCAAGGAACTCAGGGCAGAGGGAAGACAAGCCAGATCCCTACTTTTTTTATCACAGAGGAACAGGGGTTGCAAACAGATCCGTCCACTAGCTGACCCCCTTCCCACCCACAGCACGGTGAGCATACAGGACATCCAGGTGCACCTGGCTCAGGGCCATGTCGCCATCGTGCTGGTGAACTCAGGGGTGCTGCACTGTGACCTGTGCTCCAGCCCCGTCAAGTACTGCTGCTTCGCCCCCAGTGGACACCGCTGCTTCTGTCGCACCCCCGACTACCAGGGCCATTTCATTGTGCTGCGTGGCTACAACAGGGCCACTGGCTGCATCTTCTACAACAACCCAGCCTATGCGGACCGTGAGTGCCAGAAGCAGGGTGGGCCAGGCAATCTGTATTCACCGTCCTCTGTACTCCACCCCCTCAGCTTCTTCCTCATCAGACTGTTGTGGCCACAATCTCCCTCTCTGCCTTTCCTCAAAACTCCTGCTCCTCCTGTGCATGCTTTTGTCCTCTGGACTGCCCTTTCTGGCCAGGCAAGCAAACCAGCCGCAAACTCACAGCAGTGCCGACCTCCCTCCACCCCTAGACACACACACCACTGCCCAGGTCCCCACCTCCATGACTCATGCTGCACAGGCTGCTGTCCCACTCCCAGTCCTCCCAGGACGGACAGTGCGGTCATTAGAAAGTCTGGCCAGACCCGGCCCTTGCTCCAGACTGCCCACTGCCCTTAGGGCACAGGGAAGGGCTACTCCCCTGACCTGTCCATGTGGCCCAGAGCATGTTTCTTCCTCTCTCTGGGCCTCACTGACTTTATCTGCTAAACTGGGGAAGCATCAGAGAAAATTGCCCACGAAGGCCAGAAAAGACAAGGAGGGCTCCCTGGGGGTAGAGGGCTTGAGCTGAGAGAAGTGGCCAGGCAGGTGGGACATAGACCTCATCCAGCTCCTGTGGGTGCTGGTGGGGAGAGCACTCTTTCTTCAATCACTGACCCCACTTTTCTCTCCTTGTCCACAGCAGGAATGTGCAGCACCAGTATCAGTAACTTTGAGGAAGCCAGAACCAGCTATGGCACGGATGAGGACATCCTCTTTGTCTATCTGGAGAGCTGACATCAGGACCTATTGTGCCCAGGTCCTTGGACCACACACTCTACCCCCACCAGGCCCATTCAGGACACCCAGGCCTGGGGCTGCTGGGACTTGGAGCCTTAGCCTGTCTGACAAAGTCCCATGGAATTCTGGGAAACTGGCACACCTGCTTTGTCCACCAGTGCTATGTTGTCATGCTGCTTACCCCAAGCACCTGTTGGTTGCTGGAGGTATCTTCAGACCATTAGAGGGAAGCCTCCCCCAGGACATCAAACCTGACTCCAGTCAGGCCCAGAGGAAATGCAGGCCTAGGGGTACCCTTGTTGCTTCCTAGAGAGACCCACAGCAAGGGGAGAGGCCTGAGATAGTCAGTCCCACAGACCTCAGGACTTGGCAGGACAGCATATGCGTGTTCAGGAGTACAGACGAACCTAACCCCCTGGAGCTGTACCATTCTAGGCCTCGGCCTCCTGGAAGTGCTGCAGAGCTCCCTGTCCCCATGGTGGTTGCCATCGCCGCTGCCTCCTTCCTCCCAGTGGGTGCAGGTTTCTGTGACTGGTTGCAAGGCCTCTGGCCCCTATTGTGCAGCATAGATGCACCTCATAGCTATGCTTTTCTGCAGTGACCTGGCCCCTGGGGATGCTGGGGCTCCTCACTCAGCCTTCTGGGTACTCCACTTCTATAGGATGGGGTGTCTTTGGTAGTGGCGGGGCCCACCATTCACTGCTGGACCCAGTGGCCAGCATCAGGGAGCGTGCTTCAGGAACAGCTCTACAGCCACCTCACCCCTCATACACGAGGCCTCCTGACACCAGCCTAAATTCCGACAGTGGAGGCCTCCTGAGTGTGGGAAGCCCCCAGGTCTCTTGAGGCTGGGTGCTAGGGCCTGCACTCTTGAAGCAATGGGAAAGGAGCAGCCTGCAGCCACCCCACCTCCTACCCCCACTCTTGGTTTTCACACCAGGACCTTTAGCACACAACACTGGGTCTCTTGTCTCGATGGACAGCAGCAGTGCCTGCCCAGGATCACACAGCACAGCCAAGTACCACCGACTGGAGCTGGTTTCTTCCCATTTTTATTTTCTGGGAGAGGGGTGGTGGTGGTAGAGCAACAGTATTTGTTTTTGTGGTACTGGAGATTGAGCCCAGGGCCTTCACACTGAGCAACATCCCCAGTGCTTTTTTAAATTTTGAAACAGGGTCTTGATAAATTGCCCAGGTGGAACTCAGACTAGCAATCCTCCTGGCTCAGCTTCCGAAGTACTGGGATTACAGGCACCACTGCACCCAGCTTGTTTTACTGAGGTGTAAGTTTTCACTTTTGGAATAATAGTAAGATTGCAGGTACTTTGAAACTACTAACACCTCTTTTCACACAGCAGGTAAGCCAGCCTAAGTTCTCTTTCAGAGAGAAGGGGCTTGGCCAGTGGTCTGAATCCCATGTCCTTCGCTTTACAGAGGAGGCAGCCAGCCCAGTCTGGGGACAGTCTCCCTGGGACAGTGAGTCTTAAACCCAGGTCTGCATGTAAGAAATAAGGGAAGTGGGTTATTCCCACAGGCCTGGGGATACCCACCCCTCTTGGGCTGCCTTTGGCAAAGAGGTGTACCCTGACGCCCCTCATCCCTTCAGTCCTGGGGCTCGGTCTTTCAGTGCCCCAGGTGTGACGAGGTGCCATTTGCTTCCCCTCCTGCCAGCTGCCCCCCTCCCCACCATGGTAGCTCAGAGGGACAGAGGTGGGTTTTGCTTACAAGGGCTGTCACTACCCAGCCACACTGTTCCTTATCACCAAATGCAGCCTTGAGCCAAGGTGCTGTTAGCTAGGCAGCCTCCTTGGGTTTTGCAAACCTGTGTTGGCTTTAGTCTGGTCTTACTTTCATGGCCTCGATGCTGGATGGCCTGAAGTCCCAGGGAACTCTGGCTCCAAGCCCAAGAGTACCACATTTGGCAGCTGTGGGGTGTGCACATCCTCAGAAGAAATCCAGGTAAAACTGTGAGAATAGTTGTAGGAAGGAAAAGAAGGGGAGGAAGTGATGCTTTCAAGATGATGGGGTGTGAAAAAGGCATAGGACAATGCTGGCATGGCTGTTGGAATGGCCTCCACAGAAAATGGACACAGCACCTCAGCCATCTAGGACATCTAGGAGTGCTTAGTCCCTGGGCCCAGAGATGGCTTCATGGGCAAGTTACAAATTAGAGCTTCTCTAATTTAACAAGGATGTAACAAGACACTGTCTGTCCCCAAGACCGTCTGCCTGACGTCACAGGCAGGATGTAAGCCACATGGTGTTATGTTCTTGCGCAAGTCACGGAAGTGGGGTTAGAGAAAGAGCCTAGATGTCAGGGACTTTGTAGCATCCACAACTGCTCAGCCTGTCCTCACACTACAGCCCAGTGGAGCCTTGGCAGCCACATGGGACACTGTTCGCTCTAACTACAGGAGGACAGAAGGGATCTTTTCCATTGCAGATTTTATACATAAATCTATTTTGTTTGTAATGAGCCGTTCTCAATAAACATTCTTCTCACTGCCCAGTGGTGGCAGCCCGTGCCTGACCTTTGTGAAGAGGCATTCATCTGGAGACTTCCTGTCTGCTTCCCAAGTTCCCAGCATGAGCAGATGGGAACCTGGGCCCTTGACTTGCCATTCCCAGTTTTAGCTGGAACCGGGATCGTTTTCTGCTTCCCAGGCTCAAATCCCACCATTCAGGCCTTGATGCTGTGGGAGGCCTGGACAGCCAGTGCCCATAAAATGCAGCAGATGCAACAGAAGGGTTTCAGGGCTCAGATATTGAAGAGGGTGGGGAGCAGCAGCTGGCTGGGGCATGGGGGGAACAGAGAGGGACCCCAGTAGGCAGGACTCCAACCTTCCTGGCACCTTCCACCCCCAACCACAGCTCCACTTACCTGCCAGATAGTGGCTACTTCTAGCATTTTATCTGATGTACTTTACTTCAAAATTCCACTTCTGAAAAAGGAAGTGTTTGGAAATCCTGGGTGATCTAGCAGCTTCAGGGCTGCCCAGCCCCTTGAGGGGGTTGGTTGGCACAGCCACAGCAGCTTCTTGGTAGGATCTGGGCCTCTCACCTAATGTCCTTATGCTAACTGCCCCTCGGGCCCTCCCAACTCCCCAATTTTACTTTTTTTTTTTTCAATTTTACTTATTTTTTACAGTTTCATCACATAGTCTAGGCTGGCCTTGAACTCACAATCCTCCTGCCTCAGCCTGGGATGTGGACATACATTAACAGACATTCTTTCCTCCGAACTGCAGAGCGGCCCTGGACTCACCTTTGGTTGAGCTGATCACTGAGGGGGCAGCATGAAGCACTGTCAATGAGGTGCCCAGCTGGATTGTGCCAGTTAGCATATTGAGTGTTCTCTATATGTTGCCAACTGCATGTGGAGACTGCTAGCAACCTTGCCCTTTGCACTTCAGCTTGAGTCTCTGGCCCACCCTAAAAGAAGAGCCCTCTCCTGAAAGGGCACATTTTGGGCTGTGGGCTCCAAGTGGCCACCAGATGCAGTTAGAAGAGATGAATGTGGGCGACGGCGAAGCAGGAAGAACAAAGAGGGGAGGGTGGGGATAGCGTGGGCAGTCAGGACTCCTGTAAGAAATCAGTTGGGAACCAAAGGGCCGGGCTAGAGCAGAAATCTGAGCCCAAGATGCCACATCAGGGACAGCACCCAGGGGTGAGAGGGCACACCTGTCACCTGACCTTGGTAATCTACTGTCAAGGCTGGTTTTTGATAGAGGATGGTACCCCTTGCCCGGTTGCTTGGGAATCGCCTGTTTGCATACCACCTCCTGCAGCCACCTCCCTCTTAGGACCACCGGGGTCACCAGAAGACACTGGTCACCCAGTGCCAGGGAGAGACATGGGCACATATTACAAAACAGGTTCCACTATTATACATATAACCAACAATTTACCAATAGAATCAGTCACACATTGGTTATAGAAGGCCTCATGCCATATTATTGCTGTATGACAAATTACCCCCAAACTTAGCAGTTTAAAACAAACAAAAAACATTTAATATCTCAGTTTCTGTGGGTTGGAATCTGGGTACAGCTGAGCTGCTACTTCTGGCTCAGGGTTTCTCGTGACATCTCAGTCAAGCTGTTGGCTGGGGCTGCATACCCTCAATGCTAGGCAGCCTGGAGTGTCTGCCTCTGCACTCACTTAAGGGATGCTGGCCATAGTGTCCTAATGATGACTGGGGAAGACCATTCTGTGGCTCAAAATGGAAACCACAGTCTTCTACAGTATTCTATTTGTGAGCCACAGTGAAGCATTCACTTCTGCAGTATTCTATTTGTTAGAAGTGAGTCAGTACCTGAGAGATTGTCTCCAATATCAGCAGAGGTCAGTGGCCTCATCTTTAAGTGCAGGTATGTCCTTGACCTTGAGTGAAATGGTGGCAAATGGCAACCAGGCATGTATTGGGTAGAGTCCAGAATATATTTCTAACAGAAAAGGGCTCACCCAGCAGTAGAGCCACTTCCAAAAGATTTTTGAACTTAAGGAAATTGCTGAATTCACAAAGTACAGCACAGAGAACATTTTGAAAGAAGGAGGGAAGGAAAGGAGGGAAAGAGGGAGGGAGAAGGAAGTTGAATGGGTAAATCCAAAACACACTGGGAATGACAGAGGGCATGAATACCAAGAAGCAAGGGTGTTCTGTGGATTATCAAAACAGAGCTGCAGACCACCTTGTCTAGCACATCCTGAAGAGTGCCCTTCAGAGTGCCAGCAGTGAGAAGTTATGTACAGCGGGGTCTCCTAGGCAGGGCAGCTTGGCAAACATTGCATGCTACAATCCCCTCTAGGAGACTTAGGATATGCTGAAAAGGCTCTGAAGAATCTTGCAGCAAGGGGACAGAGTTAGCCACAGAGTTTATTTTTATGTAACACTGGAGTTCTGTGAAATATATTAAAACTCAGGTAATCAGCAGTCTAGTGAAAAGAGGAGACAGGCACAGAGAGGGACAGTGACTGCAAGACCCAAACCTGTTACTATTCAGACCAGGCCACGGTCAGAAGCAACCCCAGTGACCCTGTGGGGTGAACCGATGCCAGAAGAGCCAGGAGATGAACTCAGAGGTCCGGAGCCAGACACTGCCGATGTTGTCCCCCGAGGGCCTGCCCTCAGGTAAAAGGCTGGCACGTGGCCTGATAGGTGGAAGAGGCCTTCAGCTGTCCTCCTGGCTGGCCTCCATCTGACCTGCCCTAGTCATGATACCCACACCCTTTTACTTCAGGACAGAATTGAGAAGACCAGGAAAATACCAAGATGTCATCCTGCTGAACTGCTGGTCCCCAGGGGCTGAGTAAAGGGACTTAAGTATTCTCGGAAAAAATCTTAACACCCGGAAATGGAGACTGTCACTCCCACCAGACCAGTGGCCCCTCCCGTGGCTTCTCCTCCCCTCCTCCCTGTCCCTTGGCCTCCCCATCTCTGCCTCTCCCTGGCTGCCTGAATTCTGCCTCTTGAGGCTCTGCCCCAAGTACCTGGTAAAATCTTGTGCCTCTCATAATCCAAGACAACCTGGTGAACCAGCTTCCCAGAGGTGTTTAGAGCCCCCTGCTTTACCAGGGCTTGATGTTCACACATTTTTATTTTCTTTTTACATATTTTGGGTATTCAAGATAGAACCCCAGGGCCTCTCACATACTAGGCCAGTGCTCCACATGAGCTGCAGCCCCAGCCCTGCATCTTTTTTTTTTGAGGCAAGGTCTTGCTATGTAGTTCAGGCTGGCCTTGAACTCACTGTGTAGCCCAGGCTGGTCTTGAACTCACAGTGATCCTCTTGCCTCAGCTGAACACTGGGATTACCTTGTCCAACTTCCTACATCTTATTTTCTCTTCACAGACAATGGGCTCCTCTTGGTACCACCCATCTGTCCTTTCCTCTCTCAGGGCCTTTATACCTGCTATTTCCCCACCCTGTCTCCTCCTTCAGTGCTCTACCCAAATGTCACCACTTTCTAAAGGAGAACCTCTACCTCTTCCCTCCCGGCTCAACCACATGGCCCTGTGTCTTCATCACTTTCCTCTATGCTTGATGCTCACAATTTAAAGAAGAGGAGGTTTATTTTGGCTCAGTTTGAAATCAGCTGGCTCCAGGTCTGGCAGAGGGGCTCACATGATGGAGACCACCAAGCAGAGTGAAGGGAGGAGCTGAGGAGGGAGACACAGTACATCCTTCTGGGCCATGACCCGCCTCTTCCGACAGACCCCACTTATGATCAGCACTTTCAGTTCTGTGAGTGTGGTGCCCCTGGAGCGATTCACCTTCCACACATGAGAACTGGGGGGACATTTTAGATCCAAACCACAACAACCTATCTCTACTGCTGGAGCCTGAATACCTGATGCCTAAGAGATGCTTAATAAATGTGAATGAATGGATAGCAGGCAATAGTTTTGTTTTTGTCTTGCTGTTATTTGTTTTGTTTGTTTTGTTGTTGTTGTTCTTTTGTGGGGTTTTTTCTTTTTTTTTTTTGTACCAGGGATCAAACTTGGGTCCTTGCACTTACAGGGCAGGCAGCAGAACCACTGAGCTAAATCCCCGCCCCCTGTTTTGTTTTTGAGGCAAATTCTCACTAAATTGGCCAGGCTGGCTTTGAACTTACAATTCTGCCTCAGCCTCCTGAGCCACTGGGATTATAAATCCCTGCCATCACACCTGGCTTGACATTAGATCTTGAATATCATCTATTTTGCAGCTTTCTTCTACTTTTCGGAACAACAGGTCATCATTAAAGGGGAAGCTGGATTTGAACTTTTGAGGTCAAGCAAGCTGATATTCTTTCCTACAAGGAAAGGTGAAAGGGTAAACTGATACTGTTTTTTCCAAAGTAATTTGTCACCACAATTAGCCTTCCATATCTGTGAGTTCTACATCCTCAGATTTAGCCAATGTGATGTGGCTCGGGGAAGGGAGGGGAGGGGACAAAAAAACCATTGTTTTTTGTGATACTGGGGATTGAACCCAGGCCTTCATATATGCTCTATCACTGAGCCACCCCTCTAGCCTATTTTATTTCATTTCATTTTGAGATAGGGTCGCTGAAGCTGATCTCAAACTTTTGATCCTCCTGCCTCAACCTCCAGAGTAGCTGGAGGCCAAAGAAATTGTTTTTAAAAAAATAATTGTGAGAGCCAGGTCCTGAATAATCTTTTCAAAGATGTTTGTACAATGATATGTCTCCCTTCAGAGCAACAGACAGGTAGACATACTGCCCATTACATTGAGATATTTTGGGGGTTTTGTTGGTGGTGGTGGTTTTGTTTGTTTATTTTTGAGATAAGACCTCATTATGTCCAGGCTGCCTCAAACTCCTGGGCTCAAATGATCTTCCTGCCTCAGCCTCCAAAGTAGCTAGGATTATAGGCATGTGCCATCATGCCCAGCAAGATAGCAGTGATTTGGATTCTTCGAACTCAGTTCCTCTCATGACCACTGCAGTTATATGTCCCTGGCCTCTTTTAGAAGTGGGGCTTAAGAATCAGTGCAAGAAAATGCTGGTACTCTGGCTATACATACT